TGAGAGAAAGAGAGAGAGCATGAGAGAGAGAGAGAGAGAGATCACAACCAGGGGGGAGGGGTAGAGGGAGAAGCAGACTCACTGCTGAGCAGGGAGCCTGATGTGGGACTCGATCCCAGGACTCTGGGATCATGACCTGAGCCAAAGGCAGACACTTAACGACTGAGCCACCCAGGCGCCCCTTAACAGATCTTTAAATACTACTCTTTTTACTTTAAGGAAATGCTTTAGCTGCTGTAATGACAAATTCAAAGTAGTGGAAGTAAATGGTGTAAAGAGAAAAAGAAAAAATATTCCCTACAATGTAATTACGAAGAGGCTAATAAGTAAGCAGATGAGACATTTTGAGTTATTCATAGAAATCAACATGTTTTATATATACAATCAACCTCATGATTATTTCATTTGAGCAGGCCTTGATTTGTCTTCTATAATTTTCCAGAGGGATTCCTAATTAGTCCTCACACTGAATTAAAACAGTCCCTCTACATTTCCCTTCTCTGACACATACTTTGGGATGGCAATGAAGCAGGAATGATTTAAGAAACTTTCAGCAGTTGTCTAGCTTATTTTTTGTTTGGAAGGAGAGAGAAGACAAATAAGAAAATAAAAGTCAAATTTGTGGAGCCAGAATTCCTTTTAGCAAATAGATTGATCGTATTTTTAGATGATGGAAAATGACCGTCCATCAGCAGTTCTGCAGGTGCATCATGCTACCGAGCACTCAAGAGGCTGTCAGTGTGAAGGAGTCAGTGACATGCCATGGCAAGTGTCCAGTGAGAAGATGCAGAACATCAGTCAACTGCTGTCAGAAACTAACTGCACCAGTAACACCCAAACCCTGCTTTAACGTTAAAATCCTATGGCTCATTTGGTTTTGTTGAAAAATACATTGCTTGGCTTTTTTTTTTTTAAGCTGACAAACATCATCCTATGGGAACAGAAGGTGAGAACTAGAACACAGTTTCAGAGCTGCTTGTTAGTCTCGGTTGGACTTGTCTAGCGAGTCGACTCATCCCTTTCCTAACGAGGCAGCAACCAGATGTATTGGTGGTACTTAAGGATCACACCCTGCTTTAAATGCTTATTCAGCCACATTTCCAATATTTTGGAATTGCTACTTTCATTCCCATTTCAATACACAGTTACAACCTGAATTTTTAACTCTGCCACCTTCTGATCACGATTCAGACTAAGCATTTATATTATGGAAAACAACAACAGTGCTGTACCAGCTGAAAAATACACTCCAATTACAATAATAATATAACAGCAAAAGAGAGTTTGTCTGACAAAGAACTCAGGATCACCATGTGATAGCAAATTTTATGGAATAGTGCCTTTTATTGAATAGTAAGAAAAACAGGGATTAGAATATATAGAGAGAGAATATATATGTTTCCTCAAAAATTTTTGGCTCAAAAACAGGAAAAATTCTCTTCCTATTTCTCTCAATTTCTTTCTCTTTCTTTCCCCCATATTGAATTTCTTCCAAACTGAAAAATTCTTAAAAAAAAAAAAAGCCAATTTTCGACTTAGTTAAAATCAGGTTTTAATCAATACAACTGTTTTTAACATTGTATACTGTCTTTCTCTCTGGTTAATTGGATTATCTTATAAGCCAGTTAACTACTTGCAGTGAATATAAACTATCACATATATTGGCTTCCATAAAGTGTCACAGAGATATTATTATCCCTGGGGAAAAAATGTAGAAACTGAGATACAATCAGGTAGCCTGAGTGGCCCAGCTGATGTAAAAAAAGTCACATTTCTTGAACCGAGTGGCAACTCAGACTTTAAGGCTAGTTGACTAGACTTTAAGGCTAACGGGACAAGGCTTCGGTCGGGTCCAATCCCCTGGTGGGCCAGATAATAATACACTATCCTGGTCACAGATTCGAGTGAGCTAAACGTCTGACCTGTGTAATGTAAGCCATAGGTCAAAATTTAGATCAGGCACAAGAAGGATCTGTGTGTATCTGCTCATCCCCACTGACAGAAAGACAACTGAAAACACAAGAGACCAATCAGGAGTGAAATTAAATACTAAGGTTGACACGTACACACACATACACCTTGGAAATGTTAACTATGCTAAGTATGCTGAAGTCTCCTGATGACTATGAATATGAACCCACACATCATATTGCATTTGTCCCAAATGACACATCATTTGTTTATTAAAGACATCCTTCTTTTATTTGTACTTTAAATTCTGGACCACTAAAATAGCTCTCTTTAAGGTTAACCAATTCAGGTTCCTTGTTGACTTTCTGTAATTATAAGAAAGAAAAAAAGTTAAAATGTCAGCTAAATAAAACTATTTGGGTATTTGGGTACTTCAAATCTGCTTTGGAAATAAGTAGGATGTGGGCACCTGGGTGGCTCAGTCGGTTAAGTGTCTGACTTTGGCTCAGGTCATGATCCCAGGGTCCTGGAATCGAGCCCCACATCAGGCTCCCTGCTCCTTTAGGAGTCTGCTTCTCCCTCTCCCTCTGCCTGCTGCTCCCCCTGCTTGTGCTCTCTCTCTCTCAAATAAATAAAATCTTTTCAAAAAAGGGAATAAGAAGGATATAACATATAAATTTCTCATACATCATAGGTAGCAAAGTTATAATCATATTTTAAGAATCCAAATTGTTATCAAAGAAGACATCTACTCCAAATCCCTTGTTTTTCGGAGTAAGAAACAGGAGCCAGAGATGATAAGAGATTTCCCTGCGCAACCCCCAAGAGCCGCAGGGCATAGTCATGACCACGGGAAAAGCCCCCTGCCCACATTAAGCACTGTAAGTCTGGTGCAGGGTATCCGAGGTTCACATGCCAGAATTCATCACTGAAGCAGTGGGGGGGAGGTGGGGGGGAGAGGGAAGAAGGCAGGGTTTAGAATCAGATTTCAATTTGCAATCCTGGCTCTTTTACTTACTTGCTCGCTGCCTTCTACCTGTGTGTCAGTGAGAAAACTAACCTCTTGGAGTCAGTTTCTTCATCAAAAAATTGTGGATAATCAGAGTTTTGGTGAAAGGTCTAGAGTGTGATTAGAGACACAGAGCAGATGCCCAAATTGTAGCTGTTGTTATCGATAGGAGGCTTGAAGCAATAATGAATGCAGTTTGATACAGGAAGACAACACTAGGGACCCGGCTTCAGTCAGGCATGTCCGATGACTAATGGTTCCAAAATATCAAGTAAAGTCGCAATGAGTATCTGTCATTCTCCACCTCTATCCCCTATGCCTATCACCTTATACTTTAAGATAAAACACTTATTTTGAGCATGTGGCCCAGTCTAGGGGTTGGATGTGTGATCATGAAATACTGAAAGCTACATAGCCCACATGGGGACTGAGTTAGAAGTCTGGGTTATCATTTGCAAGGTGTCCTAAGCAAGTGAACCAACCCTAGCTACAAGGAACATGGAAGACAGGGAGTTCTCTCAGTTTCCACGGTCAACAAAAACTGCATGTAGGTTGCTGTCTCATTTGGACCCATGGGATTTTAATTTATGGCAGTAACAGAATGATGATATGGAGAGCTCAGTGCCATTGGGAAAAAAATTATGACTTACCACACCATGCAGGGTCATGTGCGGGGGTTGGCGGGGGGCGGGGGGGGGGGGAGCACCAGGCTGTGGTCAGGAGGCAGAAGCAGAAGCAAGCGGAAAGTCTAGGCCAGCGTCTTATTGGGGTTTGGGTGGGAAAGGCAAGGCTGGGCAGAGGAAACATTTTAGGATTAGCCTGTTTGAGTAATTCGGGCAGGTTTGGGGCTACTGGGTGGTCTCTGATTGCCTGGTACCTGGCCCTGGGATGGCTTAGGTCCTGGGAGATATTGGTGTGCTGTCTGAGAGTCAGATAAGCAGAGTGTTGGGGGGACAGAGGGACAAATATGAGACTGTGTTTGCATATGGAAGATATAGTTCCAGGCAAACTGTTATTATCTACAGGAATTAGCTAGCCTTCTCCCTGCGGCTGAAAGGCCCCCCCAAATATTAAAACATCCTAAGATACGGGAAATAAAAACCATGATGAACCCAGTGACAGAAGTTTCAAACCAGTATTTCTTCTTTTGTGCTATTTTCCACTCATCCCTCAAACACTTAGTGCTTTCCTATAGTACACAGAAATTACATTTTCATTTTCTGTGTAAATAGTAAGCACCCTTTGTTTCAAATTTGCACTTGGATGGAGTTTTGGGTGATTTTTATTCTGCCTTTCATAAATAGAGTTCTTTTAAAAGACCATGAAGTTCATGTTGAGTCATCAAGTCATAGAAGTTCAAGGACTAGAAGGGGTCTGGAAAGTCACTCAAACTAACTCTTTCATTTTATATCTAGGGGATCAGTCATTAAAAATTCTTCTGAGTCTTAATGGCTTAACTACTATTAAAATCAAACATAGAATATAATTACACATGTAATTAAAAGCATTAATAACCAAACTCAGCCAAAAAGTGGTTAAATTTCAGAGTGCAACTCAATGCTTTTTTCTTGTCTTCTCTCCTCCGAAGTAATGGTTCAAAGGGGAGACATGAGAAAAACGTCTCTGCAGATCGGCAGAAGTCAGGGAAGACTACAGGAGTCATTTTCAGGACAGATTTCTCTGTAGGGGATCAGCCTGCCATCACCGTGCAGTCGGCAGACTTCTGACAAAATCAAAACCATCAACTAGACCAAGAGAGCTTTACGGTTAAAATCAAGGCAAAGGCCCTCACCCAATAGACACCTGTATGAATTCCTGTCTGGGGAAGAGTGAAACACTCCGTTCTTGATTCTTGTTTTCTTTTGGTGTTTCCACCTGCTTAAGAGTAATGATGTAAAGGCAACAAGGATATGCACATTCAATTTGGGTACACTCTTCTCCCTAACTCATTCAGCTGCCTGAGGGTCTAAAGACAAAGGATGGTATGCAGAGAACTAGAAAAATGGAATGGTGGAACCCGAGGCATGTCCTTACCTGGAATAAAAAAGTAGAGACTAATGCAGGGAGATGCTAACGATACCTTATTATAATACCTGGAATTGTTCATCCATCTTTCAGAAGCACCGAGCACTATGAAGACATACATACTGCCTGGAAACAAACATGGTTCGAAAATTACTAGAAGTCCAAACCATTCTGTTCATTGTGTTTTTGTTTTATCACAGGAATGCATGCTCACAGTTAAGACGTACTACTAGTCCTACAAGACTAGTTATGAAAAACAGCAGTTTCCTGCCTGCCAAATTCTCTCTTTTCAGCCACAGCTATATACAATTCCTTTAGTCAGTTCTTTCAGTGTTTATCTCTATACCTCTGAGTAACATACTATGATTTCTTGAAAGTTTTTCCCAGTTTTAGGCATTACCTAGGGATTTTCCACTGTGGCAAGTGAGAACTTAGCTCTCTTTTTTCAGTGCTCCTCCCACCCCCTTTGGCCCCACCATGCATAGACTTATCATTCCCCCCATCCTCCCAATTAAGTTATATTTGTAGTTATAATTGTGGTTAGATCCATATTTATGTTATTATCACTATGTAAATGCTATTACAGCATGCTCTGTGATACTTAGGAGGACTCCTAACCTAGTATGGAGGAATCATTCAGGCATATAGTCATTCAACAAGTGTTTAGGGGATGCCCATACCATGCCAAGCACTATGCTCAATGCCGGCTACACTGGGGCTGACAAAAAGAGCTATAGCACCCACCACTATGTTGTAGGACAGTCAGCCCGGTCTCCGGAACCAGACTGCCAGGGGTCAAATCTTTTCCATTTACTAGCCGTGTAATCATGGGTAACTTACTTAACAATTTTGTACTCAGTTACCTAAGAATCACTGAGAGGATTAAATGAATGAAAATGTGTAAACTACATGTAACAGTACCTGGTAGATAGTAGGCATTATGTAAGCGTTACATATCATTGTTTTAGAAGTCAAATGGAAAGGGCGCCTGGGTGGCTCAGTCAGTTAAGCATCTGCCTTTGGCTCAGGTCATGATCCCAGGGTCCTGGGATCAAGCCCCAAGTTGGGCTCCCTGCTCAGTGGGGAGTCTGCTTCTCCCTTTCCCTCTGTGCATGCCCTCTCTCTCAAATAAATAAATAAAAGAAAAAAGCGGGGGGCACCTGGGTGGTTTGGTTAAGCATCTGCCTTCAGTTCAGGTCATAATCCCAGGTTCCTGGCTCTCTGCTCAGTGGGGAGCCTGCTTCTCCCTCTCCCTCTACCTGCCATTCTGCCTACTTGTGCATGCTCGCTCTCTCTGTCAAATAAATAAATAAAATCTTTTAAAAAATCAAATGGAAACGAGAAATGTACATATATACATATACATTCCACGAACATATATATATACACATCTACATATAATTGTATATGTATATACATGTGTTTATGTATATGATCTCTATATTTACAATAAACTACATAGCATGATAAGCACTAAGAATGAAAAGTACAGGGTGCTACAAGAGCACTAAAGCAGGGGAATTCTTATTTATTTGTTTATTTATTAACACTTTAAATACATTCAGTTTATTGTATGTCCGTTATACCTCAACAAAGCTATTTTTCAAAAGTAAGTACCTGAAGGTTTTTCTGCATTCATTAGCCACCCTTAAAGGAACAAATAATCTTGATGCTACCCATTTAAATACTGTTCTACACCCCCCCCATTATAGCTTTCCTATTCTTTGCTATTAAATGTTTTTACTTTTATGAACCTAGTAGATGGTATAAATTTTTCCCCTTTCTTAGAATTGCCTTTTGCATTTGTGTTTCTTTTTTTTTTTTATTTTTTTAGTATAGTTGACACACAATGTTACATCAGTTTCAGATGTACAACATAGTGATTCAAAAGTTTATATATTATACTACATTCAAGTTTATACATTATGCTATATTCACCACATGTGTAGCCACCATCTGTCACCATATCTTGCTATTACAGTATTATTGACTATATTCCCTATGGTGTGCCTTTGATTCCCATAACTTATTCATTCCATAACTGGAAGCCTGCATCTCCCTCTCCCCTTCACCCATTTTGCACATCTCGCCATTCCCCCTCCCCTCTGGCAACCATCAGTTTATTTTGTATTTACAGGTATGATTTTGCTTCTTGTTTGTTTATTCAATTGTTTTTGTTTTAGATTCCACATACGAGGGAAATCATGTGGTATTTGTCTTTCTCAGCCTGAAGTATTTCACTTAGCATAATATCCTCTAGGTCTATCCATGTTGTCTCAAAAGCCATGATCTCATGTTTTCATGGCTGTGTAATACTCCTGTGTGTGTGTGTGTGTGTGTGTGTACCACATCTTCCTTATCCATTTGTCTATCAATGGACACTTAGGTCCCTTCCATTTCTTAGCTATTGTAAATAATGTTGTAATAAACATAGTGATGCACATACCTTTTTGAATTAGTGTTTTTGTTTTCTTTGGGTAAATACCCAATAGAGGGTATACCCTTTTATTTATATACCTTTGGGTAAATACCCCATAGAGGGTATATACAATACCCAATACTGGATCATAGGTTGTTCCATTTTTAAGTTTTTGAGGAACCGCCATACTGTTTTTCACAGTGGCTGCACCACTTTACATTCCCACCAACAGTGTACAAAGATTATTTTTTCTCCACACAGAGGAATCCTCATTTATTTATTCTTATTTTTTGTAAAGATTCTTTATTTTTAAGTAATCTCCACACCCAACGTGGAGCTTGAACTTACAACCCTGAGATCAAGAGTCACATGCTCTACTGACTGAGCCAGCCAGGCACCCCCAGAGGAATCTTCATTTAGATGGGAGCTCAAGGTAGGAAGGCTTCTCTGAGAATGTGATATATCAGCTGGAATTTGAAGAGGGAATAGAAAGTAGCCATACTGGAAGGGAGAGCAGGCCCATACAAGAGAGGGAAGAGCATAGAGCATGGCCCCATGGTAGGGAAGAGCTTGTCAGCTTGAGGAACTGAAAGACCACTGAGCTGGAGCACAGCAAGAGAAAAGAATTTCAGGAGCCCAGACAAGGCTCGGTGTATCGTGACAAGAAGACTGGATCTCATTCTGTGTGCCATGAATGGCCAGGGAAGGGTTTTAAGCATGAAAGTATCCTGAGCAGATCTGCCTTTTTTTTTTTTTTTAAGGATTTTATTTATTTATTTTTGACAGAGAGAGAGACAGCAAGAGAGGGAACACAAGCAGGGGGAGTGGGAGAGGGAAAAGCAGGCTCTCCACTGAGCAGGGAGCCCGATGCGGGGCTCGATCCCAGGACCCTGGGATCACGACCTGAGCCGAAGGCAGACACTTAACCGACTGAGCCACCCAGGCGCCCCCAGATCTGTCTTTTTAAAAGATCATTATGATTGCCTAGAAGTAATTGTACTAAAGGGGAGCTGGAGAAGTTCTCCGTTTCCTGGTAGGTTAATTGCTCCAGACAAACCACATGAAAGATGATGACTTGGACTAGACCAGTGGTGGCGCAGATGGTGAAAAGTGGACAGAATCAATATATATTCTGGAATAGGTCAACATGACTTGGCAATAGATTGGAAATGGGGGATAAATGATGAGAAGTGTCAGAGCTAACAACAGTGTTTTGAAATGGTTATTCCAGTGGGTGGCAGTGCCTTTACTGAGGTGGGATGAAGTGGATGGAAGGAGATTTGGGCATGGCAATGGATAGAATATTGGACATTCCAGTTTTTGTAATTCAAAATCACTTTTTAAAAAATGTAACAGCTTTATTGAGATATAATTCACATAAGATACAAATCACTCATTTAAAGTGCACAATTCAGTGGTTTTCGGTGTATTTGGAGTTGTGCAATCACCACAGTCAATTTTAAAACATTTTCATCATCCCAAAAGAAAGCCCATGCCCATTACCAGGCACTCCCCATTTCCCTCCAATTCTCCCAGCCCTAGGCAACCACTAATCTACTTAATCTTTATAGACTTGCCAATTTTGGACATTTCATATAAATCAAATCATCATACAATTTGTGGTCATTTGTGCCTAGTTTCTTTCACTTAGCATAATGTTTTCAAGATTTGTCCATGTTGTAGCATGTCTCAGTGCTTCATGACTTTTTATGTCTGAATAATATTCTATTTTATGGATATACCACTTTTATTTATCAACTCATCAGTTGATGAAAATTTGGGTTGTTTCTTCTTTTTGGCTATTATGAATAGCCAAAATGCTGTTTGGAGCATTCATTTACAAGTTTTTGTGTGGATGTATGTTTTCATTTCTCATGGATATAGACTTAGGATAGGAATTCCTGGGTCATATGGTGACTCTGTATTTAAACTTTTGAGGAACTGCTAGAATGTTTCCCAAAGAGGCTACACCATTTCACATTGCCACCAGCAAGTATGGGGGCGTCCATTTTCTCTACATCCACTCCAACACTTAATACCTGTCTTTTTTATTTTAGCCAACTTAGTAGGTGTGAAGTACCGTCTCAGTATTTTTATTTGCATTTCCCTGAGGGCTAATAATGGTAGCATCTTTCCTTGTATGCATTGGCCATTTTTATGTCTTCTTTAAAGAAATATCTAGTCTAAATGGGTTCTTTCTTTTTTTTTTTTTTCCTCTTCAGAGATGGGGGGAGGGGCAGGAGGAGAGGGAAAGAGAATCCTAAGCAGGCTCCACACCCAGCATGGAGCCCAGTCCGAAGCAGAGCTTGATCCCACAGCCCTGAGATCATGACCTGGGTTGAAACAAGAGTTGGACATTAACCGACTGAGCCACCCAGGCACCCCTGGGTCACTTCTTTTGTTATGAATGCTTTTGGTATCACATCTAAGAAGGCTTTGCTTAACTCCAGGTCATGCAGATTTATTCCTGTATTTTCTTCTAAGGATCTTATACTTTTAGCATCTACATTTAGGTCTGTAATCCATTTTGATTAATTTTTTTTTTAAAGATTATTTATTTATTTATTTATTTGAGAGAGAGAATGAGAGAGAGAGCACATGAGAGGGGGGAGGGTCAGAGGGAGAAGCAGACTCCCTGTTGAGCAGGGAGCCCGATGCGGGACTCGATCCTGGGACTCCAGGATCATGACCTGAGCCGAAGGCAGTCGCTTAACCAACTGAGCCACCCAGGGGCCCCCCATTTTGATTAATTTTTGTAAAAGGCATGAGGTAGGGATCCAATTTCATTCTTTTGCATGTGGATATCCATTGTTGCAGCACCATTTGTTGAAAGGACTACTCCTTCCCTGTTGACTTTTCTTGGCATCTGTGTTAAAATCAATGTGAATATTTACTTCTGGGTTCTCAGTTCTATCCCACTGATCTACATGGCTGTTCTTATGCCAGTACCACAGTCTTAATTACGATAGCTTTATAGCAAGTTTTGAAATTGGGAAGTTAAGTCCTCCAACTTTGTTCCTCTTTTTAACATTGTTTTGGCTATTCTGATGTAAGGAAAAAAACAGACTCCTCCTCCCTGGGTCTCCTCTACTCTCAAAACTTCACTACAACACTACTTCCCTTCTGACACCAGATATGTAGGTTTTCCAAACATCAAACAATTTTGCAACACCAGCTAGGTGTTCTACAATTTACTGTCTACCTGGGGATAGCATCAGGTCCCACAGGTTAAGAGCTCAGTCCTATAAGACTGCCCCCCTATTCCTCTTCAGATGTCAGTAGCAAGTTCAGGTCATTACCTGTGCTTCTGATTAACCTGCTATAAGTCAGAGGTTCCCATGATCACTTCCTTAGGTTTGATTAATTCGCTAGAACAGTTCACAAAACTCAGAGAAACATGTACTTATGTTTAAACTGTTATTGTAAAAGATATTATAAAGGATGCAGATGTGCAGCCTGATGAGGAGGAACATACGCCAAAGTTCAGAAGGATCCCAAAGGCAGGAGCTTCTATCCCCATGGAACTGGGGTATGCCACCTTCCCAGCATGTGGAAGCTCATCAAATTTTGCTCAATAGTTTTTATAGAGCTTAATCTCCAGCCCCCTTCTCCTTGCCTCCCCAGAGGTTGGTAATTAAGGCTGAAAAGTTTTAATTCTCTAATCATCTGTCTATCTGGTGAGGACTCCTATCCTGACACCATCTAGGGGCCCCACCCTAAGCCCCCTTATTAGCATAAATTCAGGTATGCTCAAAAGGAGCTCCTTATGAATGACAAAAGACACTCCTATCACTCAGGAAATTCCAAGGGTTTTATGAGCTTTGTGCCAGGAATGGGGTCAAAGACCAAATATTTTCTTATTTTACCACTTTTGGGTTCCTTGGAATTTCCCAGTAGTTTTCAGAATAAGCTTGTTGATTTATGCAAAAATGACAGCTGAGATTTTGATAGGGGAAGCACTGAATCTACAGATAAAATTGGGATATATTGCCAGTTTTATAATATTAAATTTTTTGATCCATGAACATGGAATGTCTTTCAATTTATTTAGGTTTTCTTTAAATTTTTTCAACAATCTTTTGTAGCATTCAGAATATAAGTTTTGCACTTTTTTTGTAAATTTATTCCTAACTATTTTATTCTTTTTGATGCTATTCTAATAAATTGCAGTATTTTATTTATTTATTTATTTTTTAAAGATTTTATTTATTTATTTGAGAGAGAGAGTGAGAGAGAGAGAGAGAGAGAGAGCACAAGAGGGGGGAGCCGGAGAGGGAGAAGCAGACTCCCCGCCAAGCAGGGAGCCCGATGCGCGACTCGATCCCGGGACTCCAGGATCATGACCTGAGCTGAAGGCAGTTGCCCAACCAACTGAGCCACCCAGGCGCCCTAAATTGCAATATTTTAAAAACTGATTTTAACATCTCTGAAATTGAGATGTATTGTACAATCAAGGGTATCTTAGTATTATGCCATAGTTCAAGTGGCAGTAATTTTTTTTTATCTTGGTGGAGATAAATGTGACTTACAATCAATAGCTTCTTTGATTCAATACCATATGGTATTAAATGTGAAATGTCTATAAAACATTAAAGTGGAAATGGAAAATAGGCACTTGGATATATCAATTTAGAAATCAGAAGAGAGGGTTGAACTAGTAGATAGATGTAGGGTCATCTGAAGTTCATTATTTAAAGCCACAAGAGTCAATGAGATTTCTTTGGGGAAACAGTGTAGAGAAAACAAGATATTCCAGGTTGCAGCCCTGAAAAATTGCAACAAGAAGTTGATTATAGGAATAAGAGCTAGAAAAGGAAACATTTTTGTTTTGAGTTTATTGTTGTCATTATTGCTGTTATTATATGTCACGAGATGGAAGGACCTATAGGGCCAGGACCTTGCCTCTTTTACACTCTAATGAACCTCTAAGCTAAGCACTTTACTATATTTAGATATTAACCTACATGCCACAGATAAATTGGGGAAAATTATTCAGAATAATCTGGTCATTTGAAAAATAATATATTGATTCAGCTCTTTCACCCCTGAAAATCAAACATGAATACAAAAAAATAAATCTTTCAGGTCTTCAGAGAAGCATTTTAATCTGATGTTGATTTTGGTTTGAAAACAGGCACATGCCTATTGCATATTAACCTAAAGTAATTGTCTAAAGGTAGAAGAGAACCGGGACACCTGGGGGGCTCAGTCATTAAGCGTCTGCCTCCGGCTCAGGTCATGATGCCAGGGTCCTGGGATTGAGCCCCACATCGGGCTCCCTGCTCTGCGGGAAGCCTGCTTCTCCCTCTCCCCCTCCCCCTGCTTGTGTTCCCTCTCTCACTGTCTCTTTCTGTCAAATAAATAAATAAAATCTTAAAAAAAAAAAAGGTAGAAGAGAACCAATCAGTAGAAATACTGCAGCATTCACAATTAAAACCAGCAATGTGTATAAAAATCCTTCTGAGGCGTTCATATCCCATTTGCTGTCACATTTCTATAGAATAAGTAGGACACCAGCTGGTAGTAATGCTAATTCATCCGCCTTTCATCTCAGATGCTGAATCTTATCCATTTCTTTTTTCCCTTCGTATTTCAAATGCCCTAACCAACATATAAAGTTATCATCATACCATATCCTCTAGGCAGCAGTTTTCAAACACGGCAGATTTTGACCCCCAGAGGACATTTAGAAAGGTATGGAGACATTTTTTGTTTGTCACAACTGGAGATAAGAGAGTTACTGACATCAAAAGGGTACAGGACAGAGATGTTGCCAAACATCCTACAATCCCTAGGACAGGCCCCCATAACAACAATCTAGCGCAAAGCGTCAGTAGGGCCAAGGTTGAGAAACTCTGCCAACGGAGGTAAGTTTTTTGCTTTTTTTAAATAAAGACTTTTATTTATTTATTTGACAGAGAGAGACACAGTGAGAGAGGGAACACAAGCAGGGGGAGTGGGAGAGGGAGAAGCAGGCTTCCTGCTGAGCAGGGAGCCCGATGTGGGGCTCGATCCCAGGACCCTGAGATCATGACCTGAGCCGAAGGCAGACGCTTAACGACTGAGCCACCCAGGTGCCCCGGAGGTAAGTTTTTATATATATGAACTTTCCAGGGGCAAAGTCCTTAGCTTTGTCAAATTCTCAAAGGTGGTATAATGCAGAATTTTAAGAAACACTGGCTTAAATGGCTATTTTTACCTAGGCCTCGGTAACAAGAGGCATAGTAATATCACTTGAAAGCAAAAATCACCTCTCCAGTTAAGACTTACCTCAGCCCACCAAATTTCTCTGTCCCTTTCCACTGCCCACGCTGATTCATGGCTAGACAAACAGAGCTCGTTGGATTTCCTGTGTCTAGACTCTCGGAGTACCTCATACCCCTGTTAGCCAGATTAATACAGTTATTATGGTTATGGTGACTATTGGCTAAGCTAGAGTTTCATGATATGTCAAAAGTTTTGATTTCTTTAGATACCTCCAGTTCATTTGGTCAATATCCATTTAATCAGTGCCTACAATGTTTAGCACACTGTTAGACACTGGAAATACAGTGATGAAAATGAGCTTGCAACTCAATACTGGAGAGATCAATAAAATTTAAACATATAATTTAAAACTGCAGTATGGGAGAGGTGTGAAAGGTAAACGAGGCTGAAATGAGGATAAGGAAAGACTTATCAACCAGATCACTGTATGCCACCCAAATGCGACAAGCCACTAACTCCTTCCCAGTTATTCTAAACAATGCTGTAATATCTATGTCCCGTAACTTGGGATGTATTATATTAAACTAGCTTCTCCTGGGCACTGACAGGCAAGTGGGAGCGTGGACGCTTCCCGCAAGGTGAGAACATCAAATGCAAAAGCTTCCCTTTTCCTTGTTACTAATAAATCTAATTAGAAACCAATGTGTGTGGTGGGCGAGGGGGCAGGAGAGAAATCGAATAAAGCCAATGTCTAAAATGCCATTTCCAGATAATCAGATTACAATCGCAATCGTTTTGGGTTTTGGGTTTTTTTTTTTTGACCTGAGCCGAAGGCAGACGTCCAACCACTGAGCCACCCAGGCGCCCCAATCGCAACTGGAAGTTGACGGTCATGGCCTGTAAATCAAGAGAGACCAGGAAAAAAAAAAAATCAACGTAACCATTTCCCAAATGTTAGCAACTCTGTATATTGTCAGTATTCAGCTAAAGCGGTCGGGGTACTCTAGCCAGCAATACTGCGACAGGCTGGAATCTTGAACTCACTAAAAACCCCAGATTGGTAAAAATAACCGGAGTTTCCGTGGGAACGAGATTGGGGGTTGGCCGGTGAGAGAACAAAGGCTGCGCGTCCCTATCAGGGTCCACTGGGCCCGCCGGCCGCACTGGGGGCAAGGGCGGGGGCGGCGGTGGTGGTGCGTCCGGGTGGCGGGCTCCCCGGTGCCCCACGCCGCCGCGGCGCTGGCGCACCTCTCCGGGCCCGTCCCCGGGCCGCTGCATAGGAGGGCGCCGGCGAGGCGGGAGGCGAGTGAGAAGGAACGCGGGGGCCGAGGCCGGACCGCCGCCCGAGTGAGTGAGCCAGCAAGCGACTTGTGAAACACGCCGCGGGCGGTCACCCAGCAGCACCGGGATCACGCGGCTCCCAGGGCCGGCAGAAGCCGCCTAGATAGAGCACGCGGGAAGGGAGGGGCGCCGGGGACAGAGGGCGACGTCCCCTGCGGTTCCCGTCTCTAAGGGGCCGCCGTCGCCGCCAGGCCCCGCCCCCTGGCGCTTATGTAATAGGGGCGCACCGCCATTGGCCGGCGCGACCGGAAAGGGCGCAGGCGTGCGAGCAGGGGAGGAGCGCGGGAGGCGGCCGCAGCAGGAAGGCGCGTGGGCGGCGAGGAGCAGGCGGGCGCTGGGGCGACTGGGAGAGCTGCGCGGCGTGCGCGGGCACGAGCATAGTGGCCTCCCCCGAGGCTGAGGCGGCGGCGGGCGCGCGCGGCGGCGGCGGCGGCGGCGGCGGCGGCGGGTGCGAGGCGCGGGCTGTTGTGCTCTCCTCTTTCCCCTCCTCGGCGGGTGGAGGAGGCCGAAGCGGTGCTGGGCGCTCTCCCCCTTCCTCTCCCTCCGGCCACCTCCCCCGGCCCTCTCGCGCTGCGCGGTCTCTCCGACGCAAGACTGTCCCAGCCCGGGTGAGCGGCTGTGGGGGCGGCGCTGACGCCGCAGGACGTCCGGGAGTCGGGGTGGGGGCCTGGCGGCGGGGTCGCCGCGGGTCGCGAGGGGCCGCCGGCCTCCCCGCCTCCCAGGCGGCGGCCGGGCCCGTCCTGTCCCGGCGCGGGCCGCGGGCAGGAGGGAGAGCTCGGGCGCCTGCCAGGCCCTGCAGGTGGCCGGGTTGCAGGCCGCCCGCGGCCGCCGCGCGGAGCGGTAACCTTACCCCTTGGCGACGGCAGCTGGCCGGTTTCTCGAGGCCCGGGTTCCCCGCGGCCGAAGGGGCCGGGGTTGGGGCCGCCAAAGCCTCTGGGAGCCGCGTCTCGGTCCGGGGTCTGTGAGGAGTGGCGGGTCGGTCGGTGGGGGCTGTGTGGCCGGACCGAGGAAGGGGCTGCCCGACGCGGGAGAGGCCGGCGGGGAAGGCAGGTGGGCCGGGCTGCAGCTGGGTCGGTCATGTGTTGGGTGAAATAGATCTTACTCCTGGTGCTTTCCTCTTCCCTCCCTGAAAGGATGTAGTTAAAAGCTAGGGTCAGGATGTTGATCACTGCCTGGCCTCCTCGTTTCATATGGTTATGGAGAATGATCCTACTTCCTGGATCCCAAATCTTTTCTTACTCAGTTGTTTTTGGTTTTAAGAGGATCTTTGGGGGGCAATGCTTACTTGTTGCCTCCTGTAAGAGCTCTTCATTTTAGAAGAACTCTTTATTCGTTCTACTTCCCTCTTTGCATCCCTCTCGGAAAACCACACTAAATAAGAGTTAAATTAAAAACCTGCGTTTAAGGTATTTGTAAATGACTTGTTGGCCCTCAGTTTGTCGTGTGTAATTAAGAAGTTGTGCTTAAGATTTTGTAGAAAATTCGATTGGCTTGAGAGCAGTTCCAAAGTTGAGCTGTCCAAAAGCAGGTGGCTTGTTCGTTTGCATTTCTGCTTTCAGAAAGGAAATCAATGCAGGGAGTTGTTAGAAGTTGGGGGCCTACCCCATGCGTTTAGACTGTTGATTCGATTTCCTTCACCGGGTGTTAAGTTTTGTTTTAAAAATAAGTGACCACAGTCTTTACTTATTAAAGCTTTTATGGTTTTGTTACTGTTAGATGACAGGGAAAATGGGTTAAATGTATTGTGTAATGTTATATTTTAGGAGAAGCCCTAAATGGAAAAGTTAAAAATAATGTGCATCTCATTACATTGTACAGATCACTGCATGAAAATGGTATCGAAATAGTTAATATCTTGTAATTATCAAAGATACTTCTGGAATTGGCATAAAATAATTGAGGTTACCCACAAAATCAGTGTTAGCATGCGTAGTAGACATTGTGTAGAAGAGCTCAGAAGCATGAGAGGACTAAACTATTCTAACATAAGGTACTGATAAAAGATGTTATAAAATATTGGGATACGTAAAGATTGAATACCTGTTATCATCCAGATCATACTTAAGTATCCAAATCTGTTTCTGTGTGAATAGGTTCCGTATGCTTGCCGTAACATTTGTACTTAAATATACATTTAAAAAGAATCATACCATTTGGCTTGGCATTAATAAAGATTTGGCTTTATAAAAACTAAAATGGAAGTTTAGTTTTCAAGGACTAATACATCTGGTAACATTTACTATTATTTGCGAGTATACTAGGCTAGCATACTAAGAATTTTTGTAGTTTGTTAAAATATTCAACTAGCTTTTTAAAAAAGCATTGATCCTCTTCTGTGTTTTATTCTGTGTTAAATACTAGTGGGGAATTTGTCCAAGCAGTGTATTTATTTTGTCAGGACCCTTTTTTTGGGGGGGAGAGGCTCATATGTTTCTATAATAGGCTTTGACTTTATATCCATTAACTGATTAGGGTTCCAGTCAGAAAAAAGCCAGCCCTGTTTTCTGGTAAAGGTGATCTACATCCATATTATGTTCATATCCTGCAATGATTTAAAAGTTTAAAACTTAGGGCGCCAGGGTGGCTCAGATGGTTAAGCATCTGCCTTCGGCTCAGGTCATGATCCCAGGGTCCTGGGATCGAGTCCCGCATCAGGCTCCCTGCTCCGAAGGGGGCCTGCTTCTTTCTCTCCCTCTGCTGCTCCCCATGCTTGTGCTCTTTCACTCTCTCTGTCAAATAAATAAAATCTTAAAAAAAAAAAAAGTTTAAAACTAATTGCAGTTCTGGTCAAAGGTATATATAGGAATTCTACTTAGGACCCAGTTTCAATATTTTTAAAAAGCAGTTGGGGCCCATAGACTCTTCATGAGCAGGTTTAACTCGTGTTGTCTGATAGAAGACTTTAATTTTTTAAATTTTATTTTAATTCCAGTGTAGTTTAACATGCAATGTTATATTAGTTTCAGGTGTACAATATAGCGATTCAACAGTTCTATACATACTCAGTGCTCATCATGATAAGTGTAGTCTTCAATCCCCACCCCCTATTTCACCCACCTACCCCTTGGGAATCATCAGTCCTCTATAGTTAAGAGTCTGTTTTTTGGTTTGAGAAGACTTTAATTTTAATGCAGAAGTAAAAGTAACTTTTTCAGTAACTTAATTATTTTTAACCCATTTAGCTTCATTTCAGACTATAAGTAAAAAGTGGTACCTTTCATTTTTGTAAAGGCATCTTTACCTTTTTTACAAGGTTCTCTCAACTGAAAACTAATTTAATTTTATTTGTTAATTTCTTCAGCAATCCTGCAAAGACCATTTTTTAAGGAAGATTTAGGATAGCACAGTAGTTTTATGGAACCTGAGTATTTAAGAGAACAGTTCCCATTGCTCTTAGGATCTCCAGAAGCTTTAGATGACAGCCCTTATTTCTCTTAAAGTTGTAAAAATCTTAATTCACAACAGTGAATACTGGAAAGGGAAAGTACCTTTGCAAAGTGATCAAGCAAATGCTTGGGGAAAGGCACTAAGCTTTTCTGGTATATTTTTGAAGATTATATATAGCAGAGTGCACAAATATCAGGGGTACAGCTCGATGAATTTTTAAAAGTGAACACATCTGTATAAGCATTACCCAGATCAAGATATAGAACATATCACCACCCCATAAATCCTCCCTCATGCCCTTTTTTCCCCAGTCACTACCTCCTAGATTAGCTTTGCCTGTTTTAAACTTTATACAACCTATATTTTTTGTATCTGACTTCTTTCCCTTAACACTGAATACAACCATGTTGTTACTTGTAACAATAGTTTCTTTTTGAATGCAGCATAGTATTCCATTGTCTAAATATACCACAAGTTATGTATCCATTTTACTAGTAACTGGCATTTGGATTGTTTCAGTTTTGGTAACAGGTGCTCTGAACTTTCTTGTACTGTCTTTGGATGTATATGTACATTTGTATGTCTGTTAGATACATACTGAGAGTGGAATTGTAGGTTGTAGAGTAGACAACTACCAGTTTCCCGCAGTGGTTGTACTAACTTATTCTCTGGTAGCATTGTATGCAAGAACTTAAAAACCCACACATTTTGATAGACACCTCTATAAAACTTAAGTCTTCAACTCTGAGAGCGTTACCATACTTAGGTTACTCTGTATTAATCACTCTAATGCCTCAACTTCTGTTTTTAGATATGGCTCGTGGACAGCAGAAGATTCAGTCTCAGCAGAAAAATGCCAAAAAGCAAGCTGGACAAAAGAAGAAACAAGGACATGATCAAAAGGCTGCTGCCAAAGCTGCCTTAATATATACCTGCACTGTTTGTAGGGTAAGGGGGATTGAAAGACATAGTTTTCCTGTGGACAGTTCTTTCCGTAGACATTGGTTTATATAGGTTACAATTTTGCAACTATGGCAAAATAGTAGATTGGCGAGCTGGTTCTTTTAGGTGTCCATCTTCACTTGTCTCTTCAACAAAAATTTTGTGAATGGCTCCTGTGGTCAGGCATAGTTCTCTAGGTGTCAGGGAAAGGGAGTGAACAAAGTCCCTTTCCTCATTTAGAAGAAAGATGTCTTCTTCACGGCAGATACTGCACTTTGAACTTTGTAAGGAAATCAGATCTACATTCTTGGTTTACAGCTATGCAGGATACAAGTGAACATATCTCTGGTTATGAGTTGACTTTTTTCTTCACTAAATTTGTAGTGGGATGTCTGTAAAACTATATGGAGTATATTTACATTGAGGGCTTTTCCTAGAACTAATGTGTTTTGTTAGATTTGAAGAATAGCTGTTAACAACTGCTATTGAGTGCTTATCAGGTGTTTTACATGTATGAGCCCATTAATCCACACAACCACCCTGAGATAAAGGACTTTTGTTATTCCCATTTTACAGGAGAGTAAACTGAGTCAAGGGGATTAAATAACTTGTGCAAGGTGCCCCAGCTAGTACAGAGAAGAGCTGGGATCTGAACCCCGGCAGTCAAGTTCCAGAGCCCACCTCTGCCTTTCATACCACACTGCCTTTCAAGGAAGTTTTTCTTGGGGCACCTGAGTGGCGCAGTCGGTTAAGCGTCTGCCTTCTGCTCAGGTCATGATCTCGGGGTCTTGGAATTGAGCACTGTTTTGGGCTCCCTGCTCAGCGGGGAGTCTGCCTCTCTCTCTGCCACCCACACCCTGCTCGTGCTCTCTCTTGCTCGCTTGCTCTCTCAGTAAATAAAATTAAAAAAAAAAAAAAGTTTTTCTTAAATTCCAAGCCAGAGTCTCTTTCTTGCTTTTTTGTTTAATCTCAGCACCCTTGAAGTTAGTGAGTAGAAGTCCCAAAGGAAAAAATACATAGCGAGGTTGGTCAAATACATATGCATATATATACCATATGTATAAATGTATTTTTTCCCAAAGCTCTACACCTGGGTAGGGTTGTAGGAAGGGATCTCAGTAAGACAAGTTCATCATGTGAAGGCATTACTGATGAAATAGAAGTTCCTGACTACATAAAAGTTCTTCATTAAGAGAGGAAATCTATTACATTAAATATGTAGTTCATACTGAGCTTTGATACCTCAAAATAATGAAATCAAGCAACTTTAGATTCTGTTTGGAAAGAAGCAGGGTAAAAGTAAATTTCATTAAATTATTGATGAAGAAATACTTTGACCTAAAAGTACTGGAGCGGTTGAACAAAACAGCAAAAACTTTTATTTCATGTTTTGTTTAATCGAATGGGCAAAAGAATAAATAATTGAAGGTCCTTGCCTAGGGAAGTTGGTATAATGTAGCATTTGAGAACTGAAGTACTAGTACTAGGTTAAAACAGGTCTTGGGCAAATTACCCTCTAGGTTTTAGTTTCCTTATCCTGTTAAATGAGGAAGGATGGTAGGAACTAATTTAGGATTACTGTAGGAAGGTTCTATGAGAATTCAGGTAACCTGCTTAGCATAACATGTTAAGTAAATGTTACCTGTTTGCTGTTAATCAAACAAGCAGAATACTTCATTCTGTGACCCACCCTTTTCTTTGTATGTGAAATATGGTGATATATTAGGAATCTCTTTGTTGCAAGGTCCTTTTTCATATGCCAGCCACTAGTTGCAGGAACTTGAAAGTGTTTTGAGATAATTGTCTCTCCTGAGCCGGTTCGGGATTTGAAAAGTTAACACATTTTTATTTCATGAATAAAGTCTCTTTTTTCCACATTTTTTTAAATTAGACACAAATGCCAGACCCTAAGACCTTCAAGCAGCACTTTGAAAGCAAGCATCCTAAGACTCCACTTCCTCCAGAATTGGCTGATGTTCAGGCATAAAGTTGTTTACAGGTAATTGACCTTTTGTCTTTTCCTTTGTTAATGTCAAGGTTGTACACAAGAGCAAAATTATCTTCTGTGACTGTGAAATTAATGTGTACTTTCCAGCTGAGATTTTATTGCTTCCCCATTTTAAGTTAATGTTTCCCTTTACAATTGTTAAAAGCCCATTTCCCCAAACCAGATCATCTCAATGCCTTTGAAACACCCAAGTTTTTACTACTGTAGCCCAACATGGGGGGATGAGGTGATGCTGGCCAACTCTGGTCCAAGAATGGAAGAGACTTGCCAGCTTAAAGAAAATAACTATTACAAAGGCATTTGAGGGTCTTGCTTCCAGAAGTGATGCAGAACAGTGTTCCTGAGTGCCTTGGTGCAGGTATTTTATTTCCAGTGTCTGACAGAGCTTCTGAGTGCATTAGGACTCATGGTGAATGGAGGCACACACTGTGTAAACTTGAGAGTTGCTTGAAAATAATCTGTGTGGTTGGTTTTCTGTTTTTTGTTTTCTCTAAGGTGGTGATGGTGTGAGACAATTATTTCTTTTTAAAGTAAATTCATCAAAGATTTGTTTATAAAATCATTGACAGATCTGTCAGGCTAACTTGATAGCTTATGCAGGTGGTGCATTTTTCTTAGACATTTGAAATGCATGTAAGTTGTATTTGTGCAATGCTTACATTCACTGCAAATTTCATTTATGTCTTATAGGTGAATTCATGACACCTTTGACTCTTCTACTGTCTCAGAACTTAGGTAACAAACCTGCAGCTGCTTTTCTAACAAACTGTTGATCAGCAAAAATAAAGGGGCTACAGAAACACTCATTTTTATGCTGTTCCCTTTTGGGCTTCATGCAAAGACAATTCTGTGTAAATGTACAGTTGACTCTGATTTGGAAATCTGGAAATCAGTCCATCCTTGTTATAAAAAATTTTTTTACAATTGTAATTATATTGATGTTCATATTGTGTAAAATAACTCATTTAATAAAGTAGTACTTTGATTTTACAACATCACAGGATAAATGGTTTTAGAAATTCTGTTCTAACTTTCCACATTATTTGCCTTATGAAAATCTAATGAATTCGTCAACTAGAATTGCAGGCGCAATTCTTACCTCCCTCTCAGTTCAGTGGCAGGTTCATTAGCTAAACTAGAACAGACTCATTCATACAGTTTTATTGGCAGCTGTTGATCTAGGTGAAGAATGACTTACCTGCTGCCTTAGTATATTACCATCATGTGTCATTTACCCCTCTGATTGTTTCCTGTGTTTGAGGTTGGAATATTTCAACTTGCCATATGACCTGGCCATAGCTGCCAGCCAGGAATACCCTGTCGATGACTGATAAATTCCTAATGCGTTGGATTTTCAGTGAGCCCTTCTGAAAGATTAGGTTCTGAAGTGTATGCCATAATGAAATCAGTAAGGCTGTCATTGAATACAAAATATGATGGATCATATGCACACTGGTAAAGCTCTATCTTACATAAATTATACCAGATTCTTTCAAAACTCAAAGTTCAGTAATTGGAAGTTAAAACTCAATTTTTGAAGGACTTTTTGGAAGTTATTAATGTTTTGGCCAATTTTATGAATGGATTTTCATTAACAGGAAGAGTGGAATGACTTGCCGCTGGGTTAATTCCCAGAACCTTCTCCCTCCTTTCCTTTGTAAGTGAATAGTTGATTTTAGGAGTTTACTTTGTGCTGGTTCCTAAAATCAAAGCCTGTACAATATGACTTCTGTCTGAACTAGAAAAGGATTAAAATAGGCCAATCTCCACATTCTTTTGGCTCTGAGGATGGGGAAATGGGTTAGTTCAGATGGATGAGGTAAATCCTACCCAGTTAAGGAAGACTAATTTTAGGGTTCTTCTAATTTGCTTTTGTCAGCTATTAACTTTACTAGTGAAACTGCTGTAACTCTGTTTAAATTTTAAAGTTAATAATAATAGGAAGAACACTCAACTATTTCCTGGTAATTGCTTAGAGCCACAAGTCTGATCCTGTGGATTACAAAATGCATTCCCTCTTTCTGTTGTAATTCATCACTGCCTTTGTTTTGTGGCTATGCATATTCTGCCCACCTTGTTTGACTTCACTAAGTTTTAAGTAAGATATTTACAAGGAAAAGCTTCAGTGGCGATAGTTTCTTAGCAACTTCTATTACATTCTTTCTTTAAAATAGTCATTTTTTCATGTATTTAATTTCCTAAGTTTCAGATTTAATATCTGTTATTTCCTAATATGTTGGTACCAGAACATTAGAATTTGCCTGATTGCTTGTAGTGGAATTTATTAAAGTTCTGGTTAAATTACAATTTAAAGGTTTTTAAAAGCGCTTTGACCATATGTATGTTTACATTTAGTAACAAATCATTTAAAAACCATTCACAGGTTTTGGGGTTTTTTTTGTTTTTTTGTTTTTTTTTTTTTCATTTTTACTGACTGTAATTCAGAATAAAAGCTTTTTGTTCTTGTATTTAACCCTTTTTTATAAGCAGCTGAAGACACCATATTTAACTTTATATCTCAGTGATAGGAAACTAGCTGCATTGATCTTGCATAAGACATTAATTCTCATACTTCGTATAAGGATTATTAATACAATCCCTTTTTATTATGTTTGAGTTAAATTTGCTCTAAGGGAAAAACTACAATTCTTAAGCATCCTCATTATTAAATTTGAAGATTCTTTAACAGATCACAGCAAAGTTCATTATAAAACTGTTATGGTGTCTTCAAAGACTTTATAAAATCTGAGACACTGAGAGAGAATTGGTCCGGTTGTATTCTGTATTTCCATTAATTGCCAAAAGGAATGGGGTTAAGATTACGTTTGTTTCCATTCTAATTCCTATGGATCTGCATCCCCATGTTTAACTGACATACTAGGGGCTCAGTTGTGTGCTGTAATGTCTTATTAAAGAAGATATTAAAACTAAACTAGTCTAATTTCTTCTACATTTTAGGAGGTTTTTATATTGCCTCTTCCCTTTTTTTTTTTTTTTTTTTTAAATTTCTCAACTCAAGAGTTGTTTCTTGAGTGTACAGCTCAGTCGTCTAAGGGCAGCAAGAGATTTTTCATTTCTCATTGTTTTTCCTGCAGTTGGTCTATTTTAAGTATATAGAATACTTAAGAGTGAAAGGGAAAAGGTTGTCATTCTGAAACCTTCCTGTAGTGTAAGTTGTTGGAAGGGGGAAGTAATTGGCTATTAATAGAAAAATAATACTAAAATGAAAAATGCTTAGGTCAGTAAACTGAATGAGATAACACTTTGGTTTTATATTAAGGCTACTGCAAAGCTAGTTAATCACATCATAATTCAAATCTGAGATATATGTAGCATGAGTAGAGTAGAAAAGACTCTTCTTTTTCATTTTTATTAGTATGTGGAATATACAGCATCTGCTTAAAATTGTAGTTAATATCAAGGCCTTTTTCTACAGTGATAGTCACACTCCAAACTGTAACTGAAATACTGTATTTAAACTACTGAATCTGAATTACTTTATTTTGTGCTAGATTTTTCATTTTGGGGGAGTTTTTGGTTTGATTTTGGTCAGACACATACTTGTGTGTGTATAGAAATGAAGATCAACACTAGAGGGTTGTGTATACTGTGACTGTACAGTCTGAAATCTTTCAGGCTAGCCAAATTTTATCTGTTGTAAATGTTTCAGAAAAATCTTAAGCCCTTGCTATGTGTAGATTTAATAAAACATCTGTATACTTTATTGAGAAAATAGATGTTTTATTAATAAGAGTTCAGCCTGTCATTGTGGATTACCGTATTGAACTGAAAATTAAATGTCCTCTCTCATTTACGTATGTATTTGAGAGAGCGAGAGAGTGCCCACAAGGTGGGGGTAGTGGGAGGGGCAGAGGGGTAGAGAGAATTTTAAGCAGGCTCCATGCCCAGCACAGAGCCTGAAGCTGGGCTTAATCTCACCACCCTCGAGATCATGACCTGAGCCAAAATCAAGAGGCAGATGCTTAACCAGTTGAGCCACCCAGGTGCCCAAAAATGTCTTCTATTTTAAATGTTCTTTGGGTAAGCTGTTTACTGAGTTACCAGCTCTTTGGAGTTGGTTTATAATTTTTTATTTTGGACAGTCCTTCTCTAGCCCCAATTTTTTGAACATAGTATGGCTCCAAATTTAGAATCTGCACATACGGAGCCAGACTTCAGTCATTTATTTGTATCCATATGGGCATATCTACAATGTGAAGTGATTGTGTTAAAACCATACTACTTTCTAATCATTTTTTATGTATACACCGTTGTTTCTATACATGATCTCATTAATAGCTTAGATTTTTGTAGACCAAATAAGTACCTCACTTTATCACTGTCTTCTGTCTTGTAAAATTCTGAATGTGACTTGCATTTTGGATTCTATATTATTAAAATTTTAATTAGTAGGAAGTAGGCCAACATAGTATTTCTTCTATAACAATGTAACAGTGTTTTTCAAAATTAGGTCTGTAGTTAAGGGTGACCGTACATCCTGCTTTGCCAAAGACAGTCTTGGTTTAAATATTAATTTAGTATTAAATATCAGACTTACACTAGATATTAAGGTGCTTCATTATATATCTTAATATTGCCTCCTTTTAATCACACATGTCAACCAGTTCATAGGTCACTTTTGTCAAACAACCGGGGTGCTTTTTCAAAATGTACATTTTTTTTTTAAAACCCTGTGGTACCCAGAAATTCTTACTCCTAAATGGGAACGTGTGATACTGGCAAGGTTTGCCCTTTAAAGGCCTTCCATCTATTTTTATTCAAGGTTTTTTGTTTTTTTTTTTCCTACTGAGACTTAAATATCTGGTCAGATGAACTAGATTCCAAAACCTTGAAACACCTTTATTCACAGGCATTCATATAAATTTAATACTGTTTGTACTGGGTTCAGACTTTTATTTCCTGATCATCTTTTCACCCAAAGGACTTATGGGAAATGGCCAGTTGGGATTAGAGGTACTGCTGCTCAGTACAGAACACTTCTACTGAGGAAGGGAGGGAGATCTGCTGCCCTGGCTGCAGGTTAGACATCCTGTGGGCTAATGGCAGTGAACACTTACGACAAATCTTGTGATTTTGATACAGGATGCTTTACATATTATTTGATCTGGATCTCTGTAATTTTCTTTTTTATAAACTCTTAGTTTTTTGGGTTTTTTTTTAAAGATTTTATTTATTTTGAGAGAGAGCACGAGCAGGGGGGAGGGGCAAAGGGAGAAGTAGTAGACTCCCCACTTGCAGGGAGCCCCACATGGGGCCCAATCCCAGGAATCTGGGATCATGACCTGAGTTGAAGGCAGACGCTTAGCCTACTGAGCCACTCATGTGCCCCTAAACTCTTTAATTTTTTAGTACTTCTGGATTTACAGAGAAGTTATAAAAGTGTAGTATAAGATTCAGCTTACCCTACTGTTATAATCTTGTATTACTGTGGTGTATTTATCACAACTAAGAAACCAGCAGTGGTATATTACCATTTATATTACCATTACCAGTTTGTCTATTAATGTCTTTTTTTTTTTCTGTTCCAAGAACTAGTCCAGAATGCCACATTGCATTTAGTTGTCATTTCTCCTTGGTCTTTGTCGTCTTTGGTGGATTCTCAGTCTTCTCCTTGTTTTTCATGACCGTGACAGTTCTGAGGTGTGTGGAGGTATGTTGTATAATGTCCCTTAGCTTGGATTTGAGTTTTTTCTCATGACTGCATTAGGGTGCCAGGTTTTAGTGAAGAAGAGCACAGGTGATGTGCCCTTCTCATTGCATCCTGGGAGCAAATGATCCCCACATGACATCATGGGTGACGGTAGCCTTCATCACTTGGTTAAGGTGCCATCTGCTGTGTTTCTCCACTGGAAAGTTACAATTTTTTCCTTTCCAAATGCTGATTTTTCAAAGTCCAGCCCTTAACTTAAGGTGAGTGGGGATTTAGCTCCACCTCCTGGAAGGGAGAGTACCTGTGTGTATTATTTGGAATTCTTCTATATGGAAGATTTGTTCTCCCTGTTGTTTATCCATATGAACTCTTAATTCAGTATTATTTATTTTGTTATTCACATTATTTCAACTTTGGCCATTGGGAGCTCTTTCAGATTAGCACCTGTATCCCTTTGCTATGCCCCCTTTTTTTGAGCTTTTCCTTACTTGTACTGCAAGAAGTTCCATGCTCATCTTGTATTTTCTCTGTCCCAGTCCTCAAATGAGCAATCTCTCCAGAGTCCTGGTTTCTTTTATTGGAGAATGGTATTTAAAAACCAAGATCTGGGCGCCTGGGTGGCTTAGTCGTTGGGCGTCTGCCTTCGGCTCAGGTCATGATCCCAGGGTCCTGGGATCGAGTCCCGCATCGGGCTCCCTGCTCCGCGGGAAGCCTGCTTCTCCCTCTCCCACTCCCCCTGCTTGTGTTCCTGCTCTCACTATGTCTCTCTCTGTCAAATAAATAAATAAAATCTTTAAAAAAAAAAACCAAGATCTGGCCATCAGATATGAGGTTTGCTTCTTTTTTTATTTCTATTTTTTTGTAAGAAATGTTAACCTTTTTTTCCACCACTAGGTATTATTTTTTTTAAAAGATTTTATTTATTTGACAGATAGCAAGAGCAGGAACACAAGCAGGGGGAGTGGGAGAGGGAGAAGCAGGCTTCCCGCTGAGCAGGGATACCGACATGGGACTCGATCCCAGGACCCTGGGATCATGACCTAAGCCAAAGGCAGACGCTTAACGACTGAGCCACCCGGACACCCTACCACTAGCTATTATTATCTAAGGGTTATAGGGAAGAGTATCCTTATCCCAAGTCTTTAGGGGATGAGCTCCCTGCACATCATTAGTGAAGCGTTGTCTTTTTTTTTTTTTTTTGGTCATTTAAATAATTTTTTTAATTTTGTTTTCTGAAGCATTCTTTTTTAAGTTACCACCAGGATATTGAAAATAATACATGTGAAGTTGCTTTATGAGCTGTAAAGCATTATATAGAAGTAATTCATTATTACGAAAGAAATATAGTAAAGGTCCCTTATCTTTAGAAATTAAAATGCATTTTAGGAAATAACATACTTATTTACAGAAGTTTAGGCTATATGTTTAAGTGTTTGGTGTGTTTTTGTTTTTGTTTTTTTTATTCTTATGTTAATCCCCATACATTACATCATTAGTTTTAGATGTAGTCTTCCATGATTCATTGTTTGTGCATAACACTCTATGTGCTCCATGCAGAGTGTGCCCTCCTCAATACCCATTACCAGGCTAACCCATCCTCCCACCCCCCTCCCCTCTAGAACCCTCAGTTTGTTTTTCAGAGTCCATCGTCTCTCATGGTTCGTCTACCCCTCCGATTTCCCCTGCTTCATTCTTCCCCTCCTGCTACCTTCTTCTTCTTTTTTTTCTTAACATATATTGCATTATTTGTTTCAGAGGTACAGATCTGAGAGTCAACAGTCTTGCACAATTCACAGCGCTTCCCAGAGCACATACCCTCCCCAGTGTCTATCACCCAGTCACCCCATCCCTCCCACCCCACCCCCCACTCCAGCAACCCTCAGTTTGTTTCCTGCGATTAAGAATTCCTCATATCAGTGAGGTCATATGATACATGTCTTTCTCTTTTTGACTTATTTCGCTCAACATAATACCCTCCAGTTCCATCCACATCGTTGCAAATGGCAAGATCTCATTCCTTTTGATAGCTGCATAATATTCCATTGTATATATATACCACATCTTCTTTATCCATTCGTCTTTCGATGGACAGCTGGGCTCTTTCCACAGTTTAGCTATTGTGGACATTGCTGCTATAAACATCGGGGTGCACGTACCCTTTTGGATCCCTACTTTTGTATCTTTGGGGTAAATACCCAGTAGTACAATTGCTGGATCATATGGTAGCTCTATTTTCAACTTTTTGAGGAACCTCCATACTGTTTTCCAGAGTGGCTGCACCAGCTTGCATTCCCACCAACAGTGTAGGAGGGTTCCCCTTTCTCCGCATCCCCGCCAACATCTGTCGTTTCCTGACTTGTTAATTTTAGCCATTCTGACTGGTGTGAGGTGGTATCCCATTGAGGTTTTGATTTGGATTTCCCTGATGCCAAGCGATATTGAGCACTTTTTCATGTGTCTGTTGGCCATTTGGATGTCTTCTTTGGAAAAATGTCTGTTCATGTCTTCTGCCCATTTCTTGATTGGATTCTTTGTTCTTTGGGTGTTGAGTTTGATGAGTTCTTTATAGATTTTGGATACGAGCCCTTTATCTGATATGTCATTTGCAAATATCTTCTCCCATTCTGTCGGTTGTCTTTTGGTTTTGTTGACTGTTTCCTTTGCTTTGCAAAAGCTTTTTATCTTGATGAAGTCCCAATAGTTCATTTTTGCCCTTGCTTCCCTTGCCTTTGGCGATGTTTCTAGGAAGAAGTTGCTTCGGCTGAGGTCAGAGAGGTTGCTGCCTGTGTTCTCCTTTAGGATTTGGATGGACTCCTGTCTCACATTGAGTTCTTTCAACCATTTTGAGTCTATTTTTGTGTGTGGTGTAAGGAAATGGTCCAGTTTCATTCTTCTGCATGTGGCTATCCAATTTTCCCAACACCATTTGTTGAAGAGACTGTCTTTTTTCCATTGGACATTCTTTTCTGCTTTGTCAAAGATGAGTTGACCATAGAGTTGAGGGTCCATTTCTGGGCTCTCTATTCTGTTCCATTGATCTATGTGCCTGTTTT